TAGTTGCTAGTGTTGTATTCATCATGGTTATCTTGTGTCCCCTGTGTTTACTGTGTTAATTTCTGCCACCCTCTGTGTACTCATCCTTTTATTTCAGGAACCCTGTATTTAGTTTAGTCATGTTTCTGTATTTTCCATGGTTAGTTATCTCACTTCCTGTTTTATTTTAGAGTTTGTGTTCCTTGTTTGTTGTCATGAGTTTTACTTCCCTTGTGTTGTCTGATCATTCTGTTCAGCCATGTCTTGTTCTCCCCACCTCTCTTCGCTCCTCAAATCAACCTTCAGTATATATATTGTCACTGTCTACATGGATCCTTTTCAAAAAGCACCTGTTTCTGTTACTTGCTTCCCAGTGTTTTTGTTCTTTCTTTCTTTGCTCCTGCAACTCTCCTTGGCTTTATATTCTAGTTAGTGTGTTTTTAAATCTGTAGACTTCAGTTTCCCTTTGTACTCATGTTAGTCAGCCTGTGGTGTTTTTGCATTGTACATGTACAATGACAATGAAGGTATATTCTATTATATTCTATTCTATTAAACTATTCTATTAAATGAATGACTTACTTTAAGTTTCAATCAATCTGTCTCCAAGCGTCTGCGTTTTGGTCCTTCACAACTTACAATCTGCACATCCTGCAGATTCTGACACACAGATGAATTACTACTTTCATTTTCAAATGTGCGTACTCATTGCATCTCCTGTATAAAGTCTAAACATTTACTTCTCTTCCTCTCTCTTGCTTGTTCCATGCAGGTTTCTTCATCTTCCTGTGGTTTATGATGTCACTGAGAAAGGCTAAAACTGCAGTTACTAAGACAAGCAATGAAACACGAAGCACCAGCACCTAGCTTACACACAACTACCAATACCCCGAGAAGTTCCTTTGTGTGTGCTGTTGGAATGTTTAATGCAATATTAACTTAGAAACATTGTTGTATACATGAGTTCAAGAAGAAATTGTATCAGATAAGAGATCAGCTGACACTAAAAAAATGTATGTGAATGTATTAAGTGTGATGATTTTAACAGCTCAAATTTAGTTTGAAGTTTTCTTTTTATTGCAATAGACAGAGTTTTTGTGGCAAGCAGTTTATCTTATTGTTAGAGGATAGATCACCTGTCTCTTTTTACACTCGCTTTCAGAGATCAGAGGCAAAACAACATAAAATTGATATTTTGTCACATTTTCACCAGTCTGCACATTAGATCTTAGTTTTAAATGAAACTCACCAGGCATTAGTTTAGTATTTTAAGAGGCTGTTATGTTGACTTATTGCGCACACAGCATTTTGCTTTATTGTAATTGAACTGGTCTGAAAATTATTTTATATTAAAGCACATTGTGAATCACTAAAGGCTGTGGTGTTAGTAATAACAGTAATAGCTGTCTTATTACCTTCACCCTATGGACATTTACGAGTTACGGGCATTCTAAAGTGAAAATCTCAGTTTTGTTCAGTATCATTTTCATATGGTAACTCATAGTTTAAAAATCAAAAGTGTACTAATTTAATGTTTACAACAAAGAATGTCAGAAAAAAACAGCGGTACCCTGCATATAGGTAGAGAACCCTTTAAAAAGTGTATTTTGGGTAAACAGTGGTTATATCACCATGTGGGACCGGTGGCTGCTCAGAGACAATTACAACATGAAAGGTCTCTTCTTTACCCACACTGATAACGTACGGTTACTGTACAACCTTGGTTCTCTTAGTGAAAGACTATCTCTCCACACCATCACATATTCCATATGTACGGGGTACGACTCCCCTTGGTCGTGGCACAAGGATACTTACTTAAGACACTCCGGCATGCCCGGCTACACCCCACAGCTCATGTATAAAACAGCTGTGCAGACTTGACACCGGTGATAGTTTGATCAGAGGGCGTCTTCGAGCGGCCTGATGGTGGAGAGATAGTTTCTCGCTAAAAGAACCAAGGCTACACAGTAATCGTATGTTCTCTAGCATATCAAGACTATCTCTCCACACCGTTACATATGTACGGGGTAACTCTGCAAGACATCCCGCGATGAGACAGTACAACTGAACCGCCGAGAGCGAAGGGTGCAATAAACTATTGACAAAGTACCCATAAGCAGACCACCCCGGTCAGGGATTCGCCAGACGAGAAGGCCAAGCAGGGGGATTGGAGGCAGCAGTCTGCAGACGCTAGACTGGCCTGAACTGGTTGTGCAGGATGCAGGACCTCAAGTGATCAGCCGCTCAAGGTCAGCCCGGGAACCACGAGGCAGACCACCGGGGAGCGCAGCACACCGGGCTGCCAAGTAGGATCCCGCTGGTCGCATAGGCCTACAACATGCAGGCAATGCCAGACAAAGAGTCGGCGCTACAGGCTGAAGAACTCTTACTCACCACAGCGAGTATAAGCCGGCAAAGCGGGCAGCAGGCCAGGGGGGCACAGCCTATAGTAGCAGGTCAAGCTAGGGGTGAGACCTGTCCATCCACAGAGCCGAAGCCACTCAGTGCTGTTGACAGACAGGGAGGGGACCTGCTGAAATGGAGGGCTGAGCAAGGCAATGACCCAAAGGTCCACCCCCAGCACTGTCACTACGTGCTGTCCGCAGACAGATGAGCCTCAAGAGTGAACTCGAACAAGATACTCAAGCTCAGTCCCTAGAACAGGGCTGGCCCTTTTGATCAGCCTCGAACTTAGGAGGGGGATAATATTGTTTCCAATGCATTTCAGTTTAAGGGAAAGGACTTTCTATTATACATGGTGCTTGAGTTTTTTATGAGAGAGAAAACAAATACGCTCAAATGATAAGTTTTCACAATTTATTATTAACCGGTTAGACCGGTTCAAATTAGTTTGACATGGCACCATGGAGTGTGTCAAATGTTCCCCACTGTGTGCCCTTCCTTCTATTTCAGGCATCTTGTATTTAGTTCATTCATATGTCTGTGTTTTCTCTAATTAGTTATCTCACTTTCTGTGTTATTTTAGAGTTTGTGTTCCTTGTTTGTCGTCTTGATTCTTCTTCCCTCGTCAAAGTAGATGCTTCTGTTCCTCCCTTCTCAGTGTTTTTTTTTTTTTGCTCCTCCCTAGTCTTGCGTCTCTCTTCAGCTTCATGCTTTAGCTAGTGTGTGTTTTTAAATTCTAGATTTTTAGACTTCACTTTCCTTTTGTACTCACTCAAAAATTGACTCACTTTAGGTTTAACGCACTCTGTCTCCACATGCTTGTATTTTGGTCCTTCACAACCTACAATCTGCACATCCTGCAGATTCTGACACACGGATGAATTACTACTTTCATTTTCAAATGTGCGTACTCATTGCATCTCCTGTATAAAGTCTAAACAGTTGTTTTTCTCGCTCTTTCTTGTGCCATGCAGGTTTCTTCATCTTCCTGTGGTTTATGATGTCACTGAAAAAGGCTAAAACCGCAGTTACTAAGACAAGCAATGAAACACGAAGCACCAACACCTAGCTTACACACAACTATGTGCTTCTGACATATTTTTTGTCCTTGTCTCAGTTCAATATCTCAATATAGGGTGGAGAGCCACCCTATCCCTAACATCACAACAACCCGCTACAAATCCTCGTTCACTGCATCCATGAATCTTGTCTGTGGTCTTCCTCTTTTCCTCTTACCTGGCAGCTTCATATTCAGCCTCTTTTTTCCAACATATCCACTACCTCTCCTCTGCACATGTCAAAACCATCTCAACCTTGCCTTTCTAACTTTGTCTCCAAACTGGTTAACCTAAGTTGTACCTCTGATCTACTTCTTTGTTATACTTGAAGTCAGTCCACCCTGGTCACTCCCAAAAAAATCTCCCTGTCTACTTCTGGCTACTCTCTTTTTTTCAGAGCTGCTGCATCCAAACCATACATCACAGCAGGTCTCACGACCATCTTGTAACCTTCCCTTTCACCCTTTTCACTCTTGCTGCTGTCCTTATTTCACAAATCACCTGTGACACTCTCCACCCACTTCAGCCTGCCTTCGCACTCCTCTTCAATTTTCTTGTGTGTTGTTTGTTGCTTTGGATGATTGACCAAGTTATTCAAACTCATCTAGTTTTGCTATGTCTGCTCCTTACAGCTTTACTGTAACTGTGTGGGCACATCCACTTGAGATACATGTGGGATAAGTCTGGGTTTGTGCGGCCCACACAGCTTCAGAGTTCATCTGGACCGACCCACTTTGGGCCTGCACAGCCTTTTTTGATGGAACATATTATTAAATAGGAAAAGGTCACCTAACTGTGACCAGCTTGTTACTGCATCTGCTTTTAATGAGTCTTAAATGCAAAATATTTCAATGAAATTACCAGGAAACTATTTATTTTTCCTTGTCCCTAGTCATCCTATTTTTACTCTAAATAGATGAAATGACACAAACACACAATAATTAAAGGCATGCAGAGTAGACACACTTCAGATGTGTCCACTAGCCTTTAGCACGAAGCTTTAATTTAGGGTAATGACAATGTCAGGTTTCATCGCTATGACTTTGTTGTTCATGCTTTGCAATGCAAATCAAGGTTTTTATTCAAAATGCAAAACTTTAACATGAAGAGATTAGATACAGCTCTCACAGACTTTAACTTTGAATTTCATTCTTGTAACAACGGGAGGAAAATTCCAATATACATAAATTGTTCAGCTTAATCTCTTTTTGAAATCAGAATTTGGATCAGTTTTATTACCAATTTTATACACAAATAAGATATTTGTCACAATTTCATGGTACTTCATGGTACTTTCTGTTCAATTTGACCTGCTTTAAGGGAAGACGTAGCTTGAAAAGAATGTGTTTTAGTGCTGAAAATGTGAACAGTGTTCAGTATTATATTATAATAACGTCATCCTGTATTTGCTGCATGCTCAGTAGTGACAAGGAAGGGAAGACGTGTATTTTTAGCTTTCTAGCAAGTTGATACTTCCGCTTTCTTACTTAGAATGTCATTTACATTTGTTTCATCAACTTCCTTTACACCTCTTCCTATTCAGCTCTTTTTCCCCCCTGCTGTCACTTCTGCTGTGTTCTCTGTCCTAATGAACTGATTTCCACAGCAACATGCAAAGGTAGGCTACGCTTTGGTTCACTTTAAAGTACATTACACTTTTTGTGTTGATGCTAATAACAAGGATTAAAAAAAATTTACATTTTATTTCAATGTATTCATTAGGATTATTGGTAGTATTACTAATAGTAGAAGTAGGAGGAGAAGAAGTTGTATAAGTTTTATTTCTTAATCTGTGTTTTTTTTTTAAATAAGTTGGTGCAGTCTCTAAAACTGGACATCTTTATATAGAAAACATCTTGTGGAGTAGCACTTTGACTGATGAGTCTTCAGGGTGATGGTGTGAGAGCTTTGGTGGCTGTCTCAATATCTCTACATTGACTAAAGGTCTTACTTTGTCAAATAGACCACAATGATAATTTAGCTTTAAATATCTTTGTAGTATTTGAATTTCAAATTGTTTAACAGTATAACATTAAATCGATTAGTGTGCTACAGTACAATGTAAGATGCTATGACATGGAACCCATACCATCTCACTGTTAGGATGCCTGGGTCATCGACCCAGGGCTCTTGAGTTTATATTATTTATACTGTCTAGTTTTTGGTTTCTTTGAGTTCTATCTAATGGCTTAT